AACACAGTCTAGGGCAGGCCCCGTATGCAGCAGCAAGTCGTTGTGGTACACAGGTGTGCTTGTGAGCAACAATAAGTACAGCGCAACAGCAATCGGCTGGGTGCAGTCACCGCCTTGATACCCAACAACAACTTGAGGGTTCAGTGGTAGCAGCCCCCCCCCTCTGTTCGGACGAGGAAAAATCGAATGAATCTTCCACAAAAACGTGGAAAAGTGCATCACTAGCCTACCACCGATAAGACAAGTAAAACGGGAGGAATCTTCCCCCACGAACCTGGAAGCATGCTCCGCTTCTTGATATGCACGCCGAAAGATAGAGAGAGGGTAATCCGTTGGGAACATGTGCAAGGTCGTATGAACAAGCCCATAGAACTAGGATGGAATCATCGCCACTTTAATGCTAATGGCCAGCGGATGGGAACGATGCTCTTGATGACGAAGGCTGCATTCACGAGAGGGAGGGGCACTTGGATCAAGCTCGCAATGGCAAACCGAAGATCAGGCAGCTTGCGATCACTAAAATGGGCTTCAGTAGCGCAACTCCCAGATGCACACACACTGAGAATGGATCGTCCCGTAGAACACGGGAAAATACATCACTATATTTACCTCCGTTCCCTGGGCGCAACCCATAGCTAATACAACCCCAAAACCGTAGCTCTAATGCCAAATCTGACTTCGCAGATCGATTCGCAAGGTCCAAAACCCTCGAAATCGAATCTTTACTTACCCGGTTTTGTACAAAAATGTTTTCCACTGTGCCTTGCTTACTTGTTCGTTCCCTCCGCGCACTTCGTTTTCACACTAAGTCTCAATCTACTAACTTTCATCCTATTCTGATCACGAATTCGGGGGCGCAAGCCCCGAGAACCCCAACATCGGAATTTCCCTCACTCGATTCCATTAAGAATCGAGTGATATCTCGATTCTCCTCTCCCACCACCTCTACCATAGCTAGAGCTCCGCGTGACTTACTTTCTCACTAACTCCTAACTCACTAACTTTCTTACTCATCTAACCACAGATTCTGACTCGCCATCCTTCAAAACCCCCTACTCGGTTCTTCCCTCGCTCGTTTTCGCTCAGAAACGAGCGAGCTATGCTCTCTGTTGCGCCACGGCTCACAACCCGCCATCTTTGTTTCCCTCTTCGTTGAATGTACCCGGTGTGAAATTGCACCAGGGTCCGTTTCCCTATTCGCTGCCAACTGCCCCTCCGCTTGTCCCAGCGCTCCTCGTTGCCCCTTACTTACCCGCGCCTGCTGATCCGCCACCCGTCACACTACCACTTTCCTACCTCTTCTCTCACCTTCGACCCCTCCTATACCGAATGTATCCGGTGCGAAATCGTGCCCGGATCCCTTCCACCATTCGCCTCTCCCCCAGCCTTAGCGCTGGCCCGACCGCCGCCCCGCAGTGGCCCGCCTGTCGGCCCCCTTCTCTTCTCATGCACCCTGCGCACTTCTCCGGCCGGGTCCGCTCCGCTGCTCCGCCTTGGCACTCACCGCACGTTCACACTTCGCTACCTACTCCTTGCTGCCCGTAGCGCTGCCCTCTGCTTCTTCACTAATCACCCCGTCCACAGTCTGCCCCGTCAGCTAGCGCTCCGCCTCTCTGTCTCAGTACCCGTCACCCGCTCTTACTGCAGCGCTCGGTCACACACCCGAGTGACAGATCTACTTCATTAGCCCTTGACCGGCCTGTGAAAACCTGCGGGAAGACTTCCGCCCCTGGCCTAGCCGATTTATCTCCCTCACTCCCTGTCACCCTGTTTGACAAACCGTGCGCCCGACTACGTTTCACTGCCAGTCTGCTACAGCCTTTGCCTCACCTGCTTTCCTCAAACAAAACCCGCCACCCTCTCGGCACTGCAATGAGCAAGTCAAATTCTGGCTTCTAACAGAGAATCGCAGGGCCGCCGGCATGGGCCTACTGCAAGCCTAAGCGCGGCTTTCGGCAAGGCGGGTCCCAGGCACAGATCTTCGCGGTAGTAGTAAAAATTCAGATGAGAACTTTGAATGCCGAAGTGGAGGAAGGTCCCGCGGGGCCGCCGCTTTAGCAAACTCCCCAGGCCTGTTTGCACCAGTCAACAGTTGGCGGGTGGCGCCCCCGCCACTGAAGCTTTTTACCTGCGTCGTAGGGCCACTTACTCGCCGGCTCACATGCACGTTGAACTCCTCGGTCCGTGTTCTCAGGATATACAACATAAAAGCGCTTTGCCAACGCCTTGAACTCGCGGGGACCCGTACGTCAACGAACGGTGACGCGCGCTGAAATTAAAAGGTACCAACGGAAAATAATAGTCAAAAGATCATAAAACCTTCTAGTTGTCAAAGACAAAATAAAGGATACCGCCTGCACCGCTCTGACGCTGCCAATGGCAAAACCAAGGGGGATAGCCCTACGGCCCTCAACCTCATCAGCGTCCTCCTCGATGCTCCGCCGCCGCTGTGTCGACGCTCGCCGATCTCGATCCCTGAACCTTCGTAATGTCAATCCAATGTCGTAACCTATAGGGCTAAGCCCAAGCGTGAGACTAGCGCCCGCAGAGTACCATACAAGACGGTGCGGCGCTTTTGGCCAACAAAACCGGCTGCGCGGCTCCCAGTGTCCGCGCCGACTTGCTTATACCCTGCCATAACTTGCCCCGCGCGCCATCCTACGACACCCTGCTTACCGCACGAAATCGCGTCGTTATTGCCGATGTCGTCGTCGGGGTCGTTCTCCGCACGAGCGTTCGACTCGGTCAAACGTACCAATCAAAAGAAAATATCCTTAATTCCTGCTTAACCAAAAATAAATAAATAATAATAATTTCACAAAGCAAAACGATCGAGGTCCCGGCCGGCTTTACGATTAACAAACAGAAAGGAAAATTACGCGCGCCTTGAACCTGCGCGCCCACGCACTCGCTATTGTGGTCAACCACCTAGTCAACGTAATTACAGACGCAGCCACGCTTAGCGCAGTATACTTAAACTCTAAACCAAAACTATTTTTCCGTCACTTGCAAAAACCAGGGCAGATACCCTTGTAAGGGTATTCGCACCGACAGCTTACCGGACCATATTAAGCGACGTCCCCGTCGCTTTGCCAAATCAGAAGGCTATAAATCCATCCACACTCCAAATGCTGACGAAACAGGAACCAATCCGATTAGCCGACAAAACACAGGATAGAGGCCTCCATCAAAGCATGGCTCCACAACTATATGCTGCCAGGTTTCTAACTTGGGTCTCTCACCGCCCAGAAATTAGGACGCCGACCGCATAAGTTCCAAAGACCTTCTCAATCGTCCTCTTCCTGGTCCTAGACAACTTCGGCTTTTCGTTGGGTGTCCCTAGTCCTGGCAAAAACTAGGAGCGCGGGCCTTAATCGAGACCTTTTGAAGGCACTCTCGCCTTCCTTCTCAAAATTTCTCGCAATCAAATACACAAGTATATGTGTATACTTAATATCCGCTCAGCTCTTTCTGCAGTCTAGTATAGAAAGACTAGGGTCCACCTTGGTCCACCATAGCCTGGCTGATCGGACCAGAACCACGGCCCACTGCATTGTTATTTAACGGCAGTACCCTCGTTGGTTATGCAACGATAGGTTTTCTCCTGATAAGCATTTAATCAGGATCCCCTAAAAAATTTTCAACCATCACTATCCCGCGGAGTAATTTCAATGGTGCGGGCAAACCCCCTTAAACTCTTACCCCGCGGTCCCGCAGCCAGGTTGCGCCGGCTAGCAGCCATCCAATGGGGTTACGCCCTAGAGGTACTAACTTCCTTTCCGTTAGCTTGGCCTTTCTTCAATATGTCTCAAAACTAGCACAGGTGGTTAGACGGGGCGTCGCAAAACAAAATCACACGCCCACTGCGCGATATGCAAGGGTCCGAAGACTTTTACCAGCCATTCAACAATAGGCATGACATCCTTCACACGCTCACAAACAAAATCACCGCTAGGTCCTCCAGGTAGTGACCCCTGACTTGATAAGACCCAGCAGCCACCCGTCCTGAGACGTGTCTCGCCCGACACTCATTGCGACCTTCTCAAACAATCCACACAAAAGTGGCCCTTTTCGTCAGACTTTATCACTCATCAGACAACTTACCATGTCAAAAATCAGTTTACTCACCTTTGAAGGTGAGTCTCCCAACAACAAAAACATCCCCTTTTCCAAAAATCCAAGGGGCTCTCATCATAAACAAAATACCCCCTCTTCCAAAAATCACGAGGGGTCTCGCCATAAAACAATACACTTCCTCTTCCAGAAATCACGAGGGATCTCGTCATAAAACCAAACTTCCCCTCCTCAAAACTCGAGGGGGTCTCATCATAACACACAACATCACAAAACATCCCCTTTTCCAAAATCCAAGGGGGTTTATCATAAAACAAACATCATTGAGAGACCATCTTATGGGTCCTCATCACAATTTAAGCAATCAATAATCAACATGGTAAGCATTTTGAGCCTCCAGGGCTCATAAATTTTCAAAATCCTCACAACCTTTCACAGACGGGCTGCGCTTCCTCCCCTTATACTCTGCCTTATCAGCTGCCCGTGGGCAGGTCGCATAGGTATACCGAGGAGTAGACAATTTTGCTTACAATCATATTCACAGTATCCATGACACATAAGATGTTTTTCACACATTGTCCACACAAACTCATCATTCATCAGAGCACAACCACACACGTGAGAGAGACAAGTGATCGCCACATATAAGAATGGTCCATGAAAAAAAACTCATCATAATATATGCTCAGGGAAATAAAAATCTCTCACACATAAAAATGTCTCCAAATCATAGCTCACTCAACTTAAGCCACACCAAACTCACGCTGACAATTATCCCTAAAATACATGTCAGATCTGTCTCTCAAAGCCAATGCGTAGGCCACCTAAATATGTACATGCCTCATCTAAATCACCCTGATCCTCAAGACCCCAGCTCAGTTGGAACACTAGAGTTCAGATCTAGACTAGTAGCAATCAACAAAAGGTCCTTTAAGTCTAAGAGGGAATCACACAGAACCTAAGCTGATGCCTCACAAGATACTCGCCCACTTACATAGACAAACCAGCCCTACCTCCTCAACTCCTCCTGGTTTTGCCTATATAACTGAGCCCTAAGTCCATCTGCGGACTTCTCTACTATCCTACCCTGTTTATCATACATCTTACCCCCTGCTTTCGAGACCTTCCCTTCTACCTTATCCTCAAGGAACTCGAGACAGTCAAGAGCCAGATGCAGGCCCCTCTTGCAGTAGAAGTATAGCTGATCAACCTTCCTCTTGAACTTCTTCTTCTTGGGCTGAGGAGGTGGCTGTGAAGGAGATCCTACCATACTACTGACAATCCCATGCTGCTCTGATCGAGGAACTGCGGTACTAATAACCTCCTGCTGCTCTATCCCAAGAACCGGTCCCCCAGACCCAGATCCAGTAGCCCAAGATCCCAGTCTGCTCCTCAAATCCCCTGTCGCTGGGACGTACTCAGGCGTGTCCAACCTCTGAGGTCTCCTCTCGAGTGTCTTTCCTGGCACTGCCATGGGCTGCTCCTCAATCTCCTCTGGTCCATACTCAGGTGTGCCCATCCTCTGGAGCCCGCCCTCGATGGCACCCTCCGCCTCAATCCCCATCTCTCTCTCAAGAGGCTCCTCTATCCTTTGCTCGGGTGAAAATAAACTCACCTCTTCCTGCATAGTATGCACCGCCTCAAGGAACACACCCATGGATCCCTCTGCTGAGCCTTGAGCCGGCTCACTGCTAGATGGTGGCCGCCCCTCCTCTACTGCCAAAGGTACGACCGGGTCCGCCGCCGCCACTGGCAGCGTCACGAGCTCGGTAGGGGCTCTGAACTCGAATGCCTCTCTCTCCGCCTTTCTCTGGGCTCTCGCCTTCTTTGGCTCCAGGATAACTCTCCCCATAGGTGGCTCCTGGGGAGACTCTGCTGCAGATGGCTGTCCCGGTAACCCATGTCTTGGCTGCCTCTACTCTCCTTGCCTGCTGCTCTCTGGCTTGTCCACCTTTCCTTGGGTTTGCTGCCTCAGGCTCTCAATGATAGCTGCTTGGCTGGCCACCAATGCCCTGAGTTCCTAGATTTTCATCTCCATAGCCTCCAGGCGTACTCCATGGCTTACTTCCTTCATCTTCTTCCCTGCCAGATCGCTCTCCAATAACAAGTGCCGGTCAAAAGTTGTCTTGGCCAGGAACTTGATTTTGCGATCTAACCTCTCTTCCGCCTTCCTGGTCACCCCAAACCCAACTCTTACTGGCGAAGGAAGCTCCTCTCCTCTCTGCTCCCAGAAGTCCCTCCACATCTCAGGGATCTCCAGTGCCCTAGCTGGCGCGCTGGGTGGCTGACCTGGGAGTGCTCCTGCTGCCTCCGATCTCTGCCTCTCCTGCTCCTGCTCCGGAAGCTCCCCCGCTGCCTTCAACCTCTGCCTCTCTTGCCATATCTCGTCTATCCTCCTTGTTCTTCTCGCCTTCTTTTCCTCCGCTGTCTCTCCAGCTGGCGCCCTTTCCCTCGTGCGGAGGTCGACCCTCTTCGGGATCTCTGCTTCCATCTCCTTCTCGGGATGGCACGACTCCTGGCGCGGCTCTACAGGTGTTGGCTCCTCCAGGTCTGGGTGCTCCAAGGCATAAGCTGCTAGATGTCTGTCAATCAGGGTCGAGGCCTCTTTCCTTACAATTGCCCTCTCTCTCCTCCTTTCTGCTCTCCCTTCTGGCGAAGGGGCCTTTTCTGATGAAGGCAATAGGGCCTCCTCTCTCTGCAACTTCTCCCCTGCCTGACGAGTGCTCCCTGGTGCATCCCCGAGTCTCAAACCCACCGCTGACATCTGTGGGGGCGTGTCCTCTCCAACCTCTATCACTTCCTTTCCTTCACGTCTCCCCTCATTGCCCTGCCCTCTCTCTCGCTGAGTATCCTGGACCTCCTCCCGTGACATCTCTTCTCGTGGCACCTCCTCCTGTGGCACCTTCTCTCGTGACACCTCCTCTCGTGGTACCTCCTCTGCCTGCTCTCCATGCTCCTAGCCCCGAGGCGACGCCCTCCACCGAGAAATATCTAAATGCGTCTCCAATTCTCTCAAGGGTTTCTCAGATGCTGACGGCTTCTCCTGTGTGCGTGCTGGCGACCTCCTCAATCCAGCCTCGGTAAACCGATGGAACTCCACTGGTCCCAACCCACACTCAGTGTATGCCCCTCGCTCCTCGGCCTCTGGCTCCGACTCTGGTTCCTCTTCTCTCATGGCTAGGGCCTTCCGTCCTCCTCGAGACGGTCTCGCCTCCTTGGGCTCAGGGTCCCTCTGCCTCTGACTCCTCTGACGCCTCTCGACTCTGGGTTGAGGGGGCTCTGGTCGTCAAAAGGCCTCTCTCAGATGTGCCCTGCAACTCTCCCAGTCCCGGGCCATGTCTCTGACCTGCTTAGCCAGTGCCCTCTCCGCCTTTCTTTCAGAGGGATAACGTCCTCGCCCACTCATTTCTCGGTATACCCTGCCCGTGCATGAACCACTCGAAGGCAGGGATAAAGTCTGCCACATTTCTGTTTTCCAGACGGATCGGCCTGCCATCTGGTCCCACAAACGAGGGTCGCAACTCCTCCATCATCGTCTCCACCTCCTGCCTCGTCGTCGCCTCCCTACGAATCCATGCAATGGGCTCCTCGAACCTGCCTGCTCCCCTCAATCTCTCAATCGCCCGAGCCACGGTCCAGCCCATATGCCTCGCATGCTCTCAGAAACTGTCCGAGAATAGCTCGATGTCCCCATCATCGTAGACCGGAGTACTCTCTCGATGGCGAGGCCCATGCCGCTCATATCCTCCTGATGCGCCCAACGGCCTCTGAGGCAGTTGTGTCCCCTTCCCTCCTCTTGGCATGGCTGTCTTCGTAAAGTCAGACCTGCACAACAGGCGAAGGAGACAACAGACACACATTGGGGTAAGCAAGCAGGTGATAATCAAAGCAAGCTCAGACCAGACCACACCGTGACTCATACAGCATGCATCCTACCTAACCTACACACCCTATTACTTCTATTCTAAAGGCTGTCAAGTCATCTCTCTTACCTCTTCTCTCGCCACAAATTTCTCCAGTCGCGTTCCAGATACCCAATCCTTTCACCCAGTCCCATTTAACTCCTCAATCTGGTACGCTCCGAAGTCTCCGACCCGTCCGATCCGGTAGGGACCTAACCACCTCTTATCGAGTTTCCTGGACCACTGTTTTTCCAGCGATGAATCGTAGAGAAGCACGACATCCCCAACTGCCAAGGGTACTTTCCTCACCCGCAGACGGATCCCATCGAGCCTTATCATCCATACGGCTTCTCGCCACCTGGTCAGATGCCTCCTGGATCCTTTCTTCAATCGCCCCTATCTGCCACGCCCAGATATCGAGCAACTCTTCAAATGACAGGTTAACTTCCAGAACCTGGCGCCTCCATGTCTTAAGAAAGCTTTCAATAGGGAAGGTGGCGTGCCTTCCGTACCACAGCGTCGCAGGTGCGTACTTGGTGGATCTCTTTACTGCAATGTTCTCGACGAAAAACGTCGCCCTTAGGTACCTTGGCCATTAATTAGGCCTACCTTCGGTCAACTTAGCCAGGAGACTCGTAATGGTACTATGTCCTCTCTCCGCGGGAGCATTTGCCTGGGGGTGCGCGGCCGTGGTGTAGTTGGCTGCTACACCATACCTTGATAATAGTTCTTGCACCTCCTGGCAGGTAAACTCCGATCCCCTGTCCATTACGAATTCCCTGACGAAAGGATAACGCAGGTAATATTCCTCGATGCAGCTCACTAAGACTAACCCGGTCTTGGTGCGAATAGCACGCCCGTCTATGAAGCCAGACAGGTTATCGCGCGCATCGAAGATATAGTTATAGCCTTGATCCCCAAGCGGCATAAAAAGTAGATCGAGGTGCACTACAGCCCCCGCCTCTCGCTCTAGCCTTGGATGCAACGGCTCTCCTTGCCTTAAACGGGATCTCTCCTAACAAGGTACGCAAGATCGACAGAATTTCCGGACCATGTCCATCATCCCATCCCAGTAGTACAACTCACTTATCTTGGCATACGTGGCTTGTACCCCTCGATACCCTCCTGCAATGCCATCATGAAGCGCTACTACGACGTCGATCAAACGATTCCTATCGCAAACGACTCTCCCGGGATTCCCCACTTCTCCTCTGACGAAAAGGTGGCCGTCTCGCACTAAATAGCGCTGCAGCATCCTCTGAGCTTTATCGCTTGCATCCCTAAACCGCATTTCACATGACAGAAGAAGCCCCAGCTCTAAGTAGATCCCGTCGTACTCCTCTGCACAAAAAGCCTCCTTAATCTCCCCCTCCTCGAACTCGTCGTCCTGGCTCTCGGGCACTTCGTCCACATTCTCTGCCGCGTTCAACAAGCCTGACTGGTCGAGGCCTTCCTGCAATAACGTGTTGACGAGGAGATACATTCCTCCCATCAGGTCCTCATACCGTTCTACCTGGCCAGGTCCTTCCTCAATCGTTCTCATGTCCTCCACCAGGCTATGCGAGCTGGCCAACGCTAACTCCATCATCCACTGAACATCTTTACCACCCCAAGGATCCTCTTCTTCAAGGGGTTTGAGGACTAGCTCAGCCCTCCTTTCATACCCATTCGGCGCTTGCCAGATAGGATAGCCTACACAGCTGGGCACTTGCGGCGATCACTTGTTGATGTGGAGACGAACATTTTGTTCCTGATCCAGAAATCCATCAACTGGGGGCGTATTCTCCACCGCCTCCCCTTCCTGTTTATCCCAGTTGATCCGACTCAGCCCGTCCGCCCGGTTCTTGCTACCAGGAATCCGTTCCAATTCGAAATTGAACATCCAGATGTACGTCAGCCATCTGGCAACCGTCGGATCCGATGGAATCTAATTCCTTAGAGAGTAGGCCAGGGCGGTCGGATTTACTCTCAAAATAAACCTCCTGCCGAAGATGTAGTTCCGGAAGATCCGCAGACAGTGGAGGACGGCAAGGGTCTCCCTCTTGAACTGAGAGAAGTTCCTCTTTGTCATACAGAGGGTCCGACTCTCAAATCACAAGGATCTTTCATTTCCCTCCATGTCCACCTGAATTAGAACTCCCCCTAAGACAGTCGGCCCCGCATCTGTTTCAGCAATGAAGGGTCGTGTTTCTGTGGCATCATAATCTGGTGCTCCTAGCACCAACCCTCCTTCTCGAAATTCCTCCTTCATCCTAGCCACCACCTCTTCTTGTTCTTCACCCCATACCCATTCCCGATCCTGACAGACTAACTTCCTCAGGTGTTCAGTCTTAGCGGCAAAGTTCTTGACGAAGGCCCTCCAAAATCCACACGTACTAAGGAAGCTCCTGACATCAGTTATTGAGTGGAACGGAATTGGCCACTCAGTAATCTTGTTCGTCTTCTTCACATTCGGCCTCCGACCCTTCTCGTTGCAGACGAACCCCAAAATAGTCGCTTCCCTCATGCAGTGCCTGGACTTAGCCCCGCTCGCCGTGAGGTTATGCTTTTCGAGCAGGCTCAGGACTTTTTCGAGGTCTTGGATATGCTTCCTGACAAAGCGCCTTACCCCTGGCGAGACTTCGTCGCTCTCTTTCACCGTCGGCCCCTTCACTGCCAGATCCTCGATGTATGGCTGTGTGATATGGGGGCTGACAGACTGCATAGCCCGAATCATGGCCCGTTGGACCATTGCTACCGCATTGGTCCACCTTTGTGGGGCCACGTTTATGTGGATTAGCCCTCGCGGCGTATGCATAGCCGCCACGGGCCTGTCTGGCGGGTAGACTGGGAATTGGTCATATCCTGAGTAAAGGTCTATAAGTGAGATTATAGGCCTTCCAGCACAGGATTCTGACAGCGCGTCTGCATTGGGCAATCCTCCAGCATCCCGCACGGTCACCGCATTCAATCTTTGCAAATCTTGCACTCATCGCAGCGTCCCGTTAGGCTTGATAAAGCAGAACCACGGAGACGCATATGGTCCACTCGAATAGTCGGCGACGTGCGTACGTATTTTGCCGTCGAGGTAATCCACCACCTTATTTTCCTCGTCAGGATTGGGATATCGCGCCCCTCTTATATTCCAAGGCTCATGTGGCATGGTATGGATGCGGATCATAGGTATCTTGTCCACATCCAGCCTGCTACGCTCCTCGTCACTAAACGCATAGGCGCGATGTCTCATCTTCATTAACTCCACCATCAACGTTCGCTCTTGAGGCAGTAGGAAGTCGGGTTCCCCTATAATCAACTTCCCCTCGTTCCCTTCGTTGATACGACATGGCCCTGCTAGAGCACTTTCCCCCATTCGTCGTATCAACCCTCGTTCCCTCTCGTAGTATGCTTCCTTATCTTCTGTAACGAGGACGGGAACCGGACGACACTTCTTATCTACCGTCTTGTACCGCCTTTGGGAACCCTGGTTAAGCCGTCCCCTAAAAAAGGCCGACTCACAGATTGTGTTTGTGCTGATGCGGGGTTCCTTCCGCTGCCCGGGAGCCGATATACCAGCTCCAACCTTCCTGCCTCGGGGCATTCCAAAACTTGCTCCCTCAGAGCGTGGATGGCATCCGGATCTGCCATCTCATGCGCGGCCACCAAGTCCATGGCCTTCCCGACATCTGACAGGCTGAGAGAAAATGCTTCCACCCTCTCTCCTGCTTCGGGCTCCGCTCGGAACCTCCAGCGCCCACCTTCCGACTCTTCAATCGTGAATGATCCTGGATTGGGACGGTTCTTTATACTCCTTGGCCCTGTGTTCCTGCAGGTAATTATCTCGTAATTCCCGCAGGTAGGATCGCATAAGAGGAGGATTAACGTCCCGTCATGCTTATTAAATATCACGGTCTCTGTCCTGCTTAGGAATGACCTCCCCAGGAGGATTCCGTGATCCACATCCAGCATGATGAAGAAGCAAGCCCGGGCCTTCACCTTTCCAACCTCGATGAGTACATTCGAGGCTGTCCCATAAAATACGGCCTTGCAACTGGCTCCGTGCAGAATACCGCAGTCAGAACGGTCTATATCCAACCCAAATCTGATCGCGTCCGCCTCCCGAATAATGTTCATCTCTGCCCCTGTGTCCACCATTGTCGCGCACTTGGAACCCTTCACCACAAAATCCACCGTGCCGCAGGCCACGCACTTCCAATCCATCTTTGTGCCTAACTCCGCCCACTCTGCTTCCTTGGGCAGAATCGTGCCCAGATGGACGTTGGGCACCAAGCGCCTCGACAACCTCCCCTTCAGCTCATCGCGGAGTCGCGGGGCCGACGTTAGGATTTCCTTAAGAGTCATTAGGTCATTGTGCCCTTCTAGCAGCCGGTCGATCACTTTCTCCACGTCAAACCCCTCCTCCAATCGAACCGCATACTTCTTCCTTTTGGGCGGTCCGTCGCGCACGACCGGCTCGACCTCTCCCCTGGCTCCCTTTTTCCGCGCCCGCTGCTCCGCTCTCTGATCCTCCCCCTTGCGCAGCCTCTCGTCCTCTTCCTCCTCGTTGTCGTCATCCTCTACTTCCACGGCCTCTTTTCTTTTTCCTGGCTCCTTCTCCCTCCTCAGAGGTTCCTGGCTGGCACTGGCTCTGGCTTGATTTCTCGTTCGTGCTGCCTGCGCCCGCCGGGCCTGCGGAGTGAGGGGTCTCCCCATCATCCCTGATGGTGGACACGATCCCACCACATTTACTTCGGGTCGCCCGGGCGCTGACTCCGGACCGGAGTCGTAGAGGAACACCTTGGGGATGCTAGACTTCCATTTCCTTACTTCCTCACATAGGCCCACCAACTTGTGTTGGTACCTCCCCATCTTATCCAGCAGGTCCTCCACTTTCCCCAACAAGACGGACAGAGGTTTCATCCTTTCTTCTTCATTTTCGTCATCTGACTCAATGATTATGAGCTCTTCCCCTTTACTTCCTCCTCGTGGCTCTTGAGTCACTTCCTCTACCCCAATCGGTGGTTCTTTCTTTTCCTGCCATAACCTGAATTCCTCTATCTCCACCGACGACCCTTTTTTTTCCTGCCATAGCCTAAACATGGCAAGAGGTGGCAGCCCAGCTGCCGCCCTTCGTTGGGCTTCCGCCCTCACTCCTCAGGGTCTTCTGTCAATGGCCTCCCTAAACTGATCGTAAATATTCCCATCCATAGTGGAGGAAATCAGCCCGTTCCTCTCGTCTTCCCGTCTTATATTACAGAACCTTGATTCCCTTGTTGGTCACAATATTAACAGATGGCCGTTCTCCAGTCAAAACGGGGTCTTCCATACCCCTGACTTCCCTGATCCCCCTGGCCTTGATACCCTTGGCCTTGGTACCCTTGGCCTTGGTACCCCTGGCCTTGATTCCCTTGGCCTTGGTACCCTTGGCCTTGACCATTCCATTGCCTTCCTCTTCCGCCACCATTCCTGCCTCGCCCCCTTCCTCCACCCCTCCCTCCGTTGCCTTGATTGCCCTGCCCCTGGTTCCCACCTCCAGCCACGCTTCCCTGTGAACTGGGAGTAGGTGACGGTGGCGGGACCACAGGCTGGGCCTGGGCTGCGGGGTAGATGGGTAGCGGCATACTCGTTTGTGGTCCGGCTGCTGACGGCGGGCTACCCCATAGTACAATTGCATTAATTACCGGCCAGGGCCACTGTCCGTAGGATGGCACCCCTCCTTGCGAGGGGCTTGTACTAGATGATGGAACCGCTATATTTAAAGGGGTCGCTGTCAAGGCCTGAGGCGCCTCCGCTTTTCCTGATCCCTGTCCGCCCTGCGCCAAGTTACGCGCTTTGCGCTGGGCCTTCGTCAGGCGCTGCGACACCGGCTCTTCCTCTTCCCAGAGCTCCTCCTGAGCAGCCTCCTCTATCACCGGCTCCTTTCCTTTCACTTGGACATCCGTTACTACCCTCCTTTGCACCACCGGCTCTGTCGCATACCCGAGCTGTGCCAATACGTCTGTAACAATCCTTGGTACACCCGGGGTCCCAGAGACGGTCGCATCTCTTTCCTTTCTCTTCCGCCTTTGCATGCGTACCTGACGTTGCTCCATCTGGTCGAAACACCCAACTTCCACCCCTCTGTCAATGGTGGCCCAGGTTTGGTGCTACCTCCTCCATGCCTCGTCAACTCGACGGCCTCCGATGCCGTGAGTAGCCCCAGGAAGATGGCGCACTGTGCTTCCTCCGAAATCCCATGAACCTTCCGCGCCCTCTTCTTAAATTATTGAACAAAGGCCCCTATCGTCGTAAAATCCTTTTTGCTCATTGCCTCAAGGTCCAAGGTAGTCAATAGCCCATCTCCCAGGCGGTATTTCCTCTGCATCCCCTCCTTGAACCTCTCCCAGCTACCTTGGGCCGCATCTATGACTTTCTTCACTTCCTGGTGGTAGCTGTGGAGGACATACTGAAGAATGCGTTGAAATCTTACCACTTCCGACCGCCCGACCAAAGCTTGTTCCACCCGTTCTAGCCATTCCGAGACTCTTTCCCCACAAAAGTGGAAGGTATCGGCTTTAGGGATATTGCTCGGGTTCCTTTCATGCCAGTCAATGGCCGCAATGAGGTTATCGAGCATCAGACCCTTCTTGGGACCGCCCGATGCGCCGCCGCCTTGCGACATCTTGACAGACCTTTCTCTTCAAGCTCCCTGATAAGAAAAAAAACAAGCACATCCCTTTATTCAGCATTACACCTTGACCGGTCTATTTCATCCGTCCTACCTAACCCTTAGTACTTACTTTTACCCAATGTTACGCGTTCGTCCTTCATACATTTCCTTACTCTGGTAGGTAAATTTCCTCACCTATACTTAGTCATTCATTATCTCTCCTCACTTTCTCTTCCTTCCTTCATGCCTTTTCTCATTCACTTCTCATACCCGAATGTCGTTCCACTAGGGATAATGGTAGACTTTCCGTTATCCCCGACAACGGCGCCACCTGTCGATCGCATTGGTCCGGCACCGCACCAGGGCAGAGCGGGACCCTCCCGGCCTCGTCACGCAGGAGTAGGTTTAAAAATCCTTCGTCTCAAATATATATGGAGCTTCCTTAAGCCGCTCCGGCCGAGTGCGCCAGCCATACCTCTCGCGAGCCCTTACGACAGGATAGGGCCTACGCGAGGCACGACTTATCTACACCTTACGGGAGCTGTCAACTCCCTTCGGTGGGCGTATCCCCGCCGAGCTACCAGTCCACAGTACGAAAGCTAATCAGTTGCAATCGCAGAGGTGGACCAGCCGAGGGCGTTTCTCGTTCGTTGTAGCATAGGGGGTACGCGCGGTACTACTCCTCTATCGGACCCGCACACGAATCGGCATCTTGGGGGGCTGAGGTCCCAAGCGCAACCCGTCGTCGGTCGACTAGGACGCATCCCACACACCACACGCACTCCACTTTACAAACACACAAAAATAAAACACGCGCATACACACACGTACGAAACGACACAACACAAATAACGCGACAATACTCCTAGCCCCTCGGTATCCAACCCATAACTTTCCGACGCGGAAATCGGGTAAGCGCCGCGCGCGAGACTTAGTATAAAACCGCACGGACGCAGGACCTGCTCATATCGACTTGCAATGCAGTCGTACGCAAGCAGTCGCAATGATGGCATACTATGTAGTGCCCATAATCAAGCGGTCCCTCGTGGATCCGAGTACCGCTTATGACACTCCAGTGTCAGATTCGAAGTGTCGTGAGGGCCTAACCCTTCACGATATTGCACGGCTGAAGGAATAGCCATGCAGCTGCCACGGCACCTCCAGCTCTCGGCCTGAGTGTCTCGGTAGGCAAATCAAATAGGCTCTGCACGAGGGAAAAACCCTCCCTTGCAGAGCCTAGGGCTTGCGGTGTCCTGGACAAGGACCTCGAATCCCGGCCCAGGACCAAACGTCCAAGTAAGAAAAATCATCAAAAAGCAAGAATAAGAATAGAAGGAGAGGTCTCCCATAAGCCCCTCACCCTCAGCTTCTGAGTAGGATTTTTGTATGGGGACTCTTCAACCCATGCAAAGATTTATCCCAAGTATACCCATGCACACATATATAAGGGTTAAGTATGTGATGATCACTTCTCACGGTCTCACTAGGGTCTCTCACAATAATACGTATATGTGTAATCGTAGGCAACCAAATCCAGAATTTGATTCACAACACATACCTGCCATCACATCAACGAACCAAATCAACAGCCCACACACTACACGGAGTCAACCCCAACCACCTTCGACACTCATACNCACATACCTGCCATCACATCAACGAACCAAATCAACAGCCCACACACTACACGGAGTCAACCCCAACCACCTTCGACACTCATACCCCTCGCTTTTGCCATGCAAGCCCTAAACCTTCAGTCCAATCATCCTTAATTGAATACTCAGTACCTTTGTTGAATGACCATTCAATAAAAGTCCGGGTGAAACCTTAATAAAACAACGAAATGACCAAGGCTAAAGCCTTTTAGGTTGAGTGTGGAGGGAGAGTTGAAATTAAGTTGTAGACTGACCAATCGACAACCGACCTGTTATCAGTGATAACAGAAAGTGATCCTCAAGGGATCAAGCTGGATTTAGCCCTGAACTTGGATCAAATGATCAAAAGGACCTGTAACACACGGCAGACCAATCCCCAAGCTAAGATTATAACTGTGTGGAAAATACAACTCCATAATACATCCTCCCTTAAAATCTTCTTATAAGCTAAACCTAAGTCTACTTTTAAATCATTGCTTAAGCCAAAGGTAGACCAACTGCAGAATCTCCCCTATTCTGGGTGGATCGCCTGAATTTCCACCTATCAAAATATAATCTATTTTCTCTAAACTAAGAAAATTTCGGCAGCGCTTCCCGTAGGAAAAGTGTCTTTTCATAATTTATATAAGCTCAAGTATGAACGCAGGGATAATCTTTAACTCTGGAAAGTCAAATTTTGTCTAACTCTCCGAATTAGTAGAAATTTGGGCACCACTCCCTTTAGAAAGGGAGACTTCTCAGATTTATACTAAGTCAGATATAAAAGCAGAAATAATCTCTAACTCTGGAAAGTCAAATTCTGTCTAACTCTCTGAATTAGTAGAAATTTGGGCAGAACTCCCTTTAGAAAGGGAGACTTCCCAAATTTATACTAAGTCAGATATGAACTCAAACAACAGCTCCAGCTTAACTTTAGACTGAATTTAACTAACTCCTTAATTTTGCAGAAATTTCGGCAACACTCCCTCTAGAAAAGTGCTATTCCAAAATTTATACAAGGCTAAGTTCAGATTTTGAAAGTAACATTGTTTTCCCACAGTTCAATTTTTGTCCAACTCCCTGAATTAGCAAAAATTTAGGCAGCACTCCCTTTACAAAAGGAGACTTCGCAGATTTTAACTAAGCTAGATATATGGAAAAGACAAGTTGAACTTTGATAAGTCAAAAGTTGACTAACTTATTGGATTTGTAAAAATTTCGGCAGCGCTTCCCGTGGGAAAAGTAACTTGTCAAGATTTATACAAAGCCAAGTATAAGAAAAGATCTCAGAAAATGCAGGAATTGACCTAAGTAAAAAACGTTGTTAAAGAAAAATGCAGAAATTGATACTAACTCGTATGGCTCTAGCACGTGGCGAGCAACTAAAGCAACTACCTATCAACCTGAAACTCAGATCAAGTAGCAACCCCACTAAGTCATATGCAAACCAAACCACAAAGGTAAGCACTCTCACCAGCCCAAATTTATTTCATATAGATAGTTCGTGAATCTTTTTAAGTTCTTGAACCCTTTTTCCCTCTTACACAAGACACAGAGCTGGATCATTCGCCATGGAAACAATGCCTAGCTTGCCTTTAAGATATACACGAACAGGTTGTACAACTACTTCTCTCTTTTTTTTGGCGTATGACTAGGTCATTTGCCATGGAAACAATGCCTAGTCGCCCTGAGCTGTTTAATATCCAAAGTTTAGTATTTCTCTGATTTTGTTTTCAAAAGAAAGGCAAATAAGGGCAGGGGACTGAACCATTCACATTAGAAACAATGTTCAGCTTGCCCAAACTATTTCCATTTATACTTTGTATTTTCTCTTCTCTCTTCTTAATGATATGGCTTAGCGTTGGACCATTCACAGTAGAACCAATACCCAGCTGTCAGTTCACCTGCAAATATACATAAAGTACTTTCTTTTATACTCTATTTAATTTATGTGCGTGGTTTTCAGGCTAAACCATTCACCATGCAAACAATGCTTAGCCTTATACCAGAAATCCTCCCTCATAATAAATAAGAATTTAAATCCCTTCAATCAGGTAAACCCTCAAAGTTAACTAGAGTAAACAGGTCATTCACAGTAGAAACAATGCCTGGTCCTCCAGAAAATAACTAAATGAACATAGCAACCAGGTCATTCACAGTAGAAACAATGCCTGGTCCTTCAAAAAACAGCCAAATAAATATGGCCATGAGCTATTCACAGTAGAAACAATGCTCAGGCTTTGGTTGACCCTTCCAAACGCATGCAAAACTGCCTTCCTCCCACCTTCCCCCAGTTCATCCTTAGTCTGCTTTCTGTCAAAACAAAGATGAAACTTAAGCTTCACTCTCACACATTTTTTTCATTAAGTCTGATTGGGTCATGAAGAGAAAACAAAAACCATAAGGACAACGCATGCATACCGCAATCATACTACAGGGAAATAGACAAACATGGGTAGTAGTGGGTTATACAGATAAAGATGATTTACCTGAAGGTTCTCTGCCTCCAGAACCTCGCCTAGGTTCCGGCAGAGCTCCCGCAATCGGTGGGTGGACTCCCCACAGAGTCTTAATGCGGACCTACGGGTTGCAATCCCGCCTGCCACCTTCCTCTCGTAACCAAAGACTAGACTGAGACTTAGAAGGGCAGAGGGATAAAGTTTTGAGTCTCTCAGATACAAGGATGGTGCGCTCAGACTTGCGAGAGAGGGCCTTGTTATCTTGGTTCGCCTGAGGGCCCCGCAAGATGGTCAACTAGTGACAGTTGTAGTCAACTGTTGAAGTCGATCCCCTTGACGACCTCTCAGATCGCGACACTAATCCTCTATTAGCCTAGTCTGATCTCCTTCTCAAGTCCCAACGTCTCTTCTTACC